CCCACAGGAGTGGGGGGAAGGGAATGGGGATTTTGCAGTATCCTTCCCCCAGGAGTGGGGGGGAGGGAATGGGGATTTTGCAGTATCCTTCCCCCAGGAGTGGGGGGGAGGGAATGGGGATTTTGTAGTATCCTTCCCCCAGGAGTGGGGAGGGAATGGGGATTTTGCAGTATCCTTCCCCCAGGAGTGGGGGGGAGGGAATGGGGATTTTGCAGTATCCTTCCCCCAGGAGTGGGGAGGGAATGGGGATTTTGCAGTATCCTTCCCCCAGGAGTGGGGGGGGGAATGGGGATTTTGCAGTATCCTTCCCCCAGGAGTGGGGGGGGGAATGGGGATTTTGCAGTATCCTTCCCCCAGGAGTGGGAAGGGAATGGGGATTTTGCAGTATCCTTCCCCCAGGAGTGGGGTAGCAATGGAGATTTTGCAATATCCTTCCCCTGCCATGCCTATCAAGCCACGCCCACAGAACTGGTAGTAAAATAAAAAGAATGTCACCACTGCCTTGGACCAAACTACTTCCCTACCAACCACGGCCATTAAGAATTTTCCCACGACAGAAACTTACCTGTGTGATGGAAGATTCTGTCATCCTTGCCTCCAGTCTGGTCTGCCTGATAAGAGATTTAAAAAATGGATTTATAATTCAAGGGGCCCGGGATGTTAAAAAAGGTCAAAAGGCCCACAACTGCGCAAAGACCTACCATTTAAAATATAAATTGCAACACATCTAAAAAGAGTGTCTGATCACTTGGTTAGGCGTGTTATCATAAAAGAGCAACTAACCTGGAGTGCTCACATTGCAGCCCTGGTCAAAAGGGCCCAGCAGAGAATATACTACCTGAGACTTCTCAGCAGTGGTGGGTTACAACCGGTACGTCCTGGTACAGCGTACCAGTGCCTGCCAGGAGCATCAGGTACCGTTCTGGTATGGTGCTCCGGAGGTCCCACCTGCCCGTCCGCACTCCTTACCGGTATTTGAGGTTTTCGGGGCTTCTGCGCACGTACATGGCCCGTACGGCGCCTGCGCGACACTCCGCCAAGCAGCTGGAGGGTCATGGCACTAAAGAATGCATGCGCGTGCACGCTGCACATGTTCACATGGTGGACGCCTGGCCCCATCGCACCGTACCAGTTGCACCGGAATCCGGAACCCAGCACTGCTTCTCAGGACACAACAACTGAATGAAAAACTGCTGGGGACCTTCTACCTCTGCACCATAGAGAGTATTTTAACTGACTGCGCCTGTGTCTGGTTTGCCAATTGCACAGTGGAGGACAGGACAGCACTCCAGGGGGTTAACATTGCCCTCTCCCTCCTTGGAAGAGATTTATAGGTACCAGCCAGTGGTGGGTTGCAAATATTTTTACTACCGGTTTGGGCGCACTCCCGTGTGCGTTCCCCCGCGCGCACAACGCTTATGCGCAGAAGCGTCTGGGTGGGTGGGTGGAGCCTCCCGCCACCGCTACTACTGGTTCAGCCAAACAGGGCCGAAGCGGGAGCAACCCACCACTGGTACCAGCTAGAAAACTGGAGGCTGTGAGTTCTAGTCCTGCCTTGAGCCCAAAGCCATCTTTTTTTGTTTCCTTGCAGATATTTCGATGAATATTTTTATTTCCATTTTCATTTTCATAACACACACTCACATGTATACTGTAAAGTCTTGATGACTTTCCACTGGTCACTTTCTTTCAGCCCCTAAGAAGGAGGCAATGGCAAATCGCTTCTGATAAACCTCGCCAAGTAAGCTGCAAGGACTTGTCCAGGCAGCCTTCGCGAATCAGGCACAATTAAATGGAAGGAGGGGAATAAAAAAAGGGTAGCTTGATTTTTAATTTTAGGAAAGAAAGCAAAAGGGTTGAGGGTTTACTTCTCAGCCGACAAGAGACGATGCAACTTCCTTTCCCCCTTTCATTTGCAGTGATATTCTGCCTTTCACAGAAAATCAACAGTTTCGGGGGGTTTTTTCCTTATCAAGATGAGCTGAAAATCTCCAAAAAGAGGGAGATCCTACCTCTGTCGGTGGAGTGAAGTTTTTTGTTTATATTGCCCCAAGTACATTTTAGTGAAGAAACAAGATGTGTGTGTGTGTGCTGTGTGTGTGTGTGTGTGTGTGTGTGTCTGTGTGTGTATATCTATATCTATATATGTANGTGTGAAAAGATGGATTTGGTGTCACTGTAATTCTAAAGAATTCTATTCTATGTCTGACTTTAGGGCACGGGTGGTAAAGCTTTTTGGCACTGAGTGCCCAAACTGGAAGGTATGTGAACGGGCATGCATGCATACGTGCGCCAGAGCTCCAGAAAGCAAAAGAACAGCCTGAAAATGGCTTGGAAAACGGCCTGAAAAACAGCATGAAAACGGCCTGGAAAACAGCCTGAAATGGCCTGGAAAACGGCATGAAAACAGCCTGAAAAATGGCCTGGAAAATGGCCTGAAAAACAGCCTGAAATGGCCTGGAAAATGGCCTGAAAATGGCCTGGAAAACAACCTGAAAACTCCCTGGAAAATGGCATGAAAAAGGCCTGGAAAACGGCCTGAAGACGGCCTGGGAAACGGCCTGAAGACGGCCTGGGAAACGGCATGAAAATGGCCTGAAAACGGCCTGGAAAAGGGCATGAAGACGGCCTGGAAAACAGCATGAAGACAGCCTGGAAAACAGCCTGAAATGGCCTGGAAAACAGCCTGAAATGGCCTGGAAAATGGCCTGGAAAACAGCCTGAAATGGCCTGGAAAACAGCATGAAAATGGCCTGGAAAACAGCCTGAAATGGCCCGGAAATAAACCAGTTTTCTGGGTATTTGGGGGGCCATTTTCAGGCCGTTTGTGGGTCAAAAACAGCCTGAAAACCACCTGAAAATGGCATGAAAAACAGCCTGAAAACGGCACAGAAAACAGCATGAAAACAGTTCAAAAAGGGCCAGAATAATGATCTGGTTTTTGGCCATTTTCTGGTGCTCCGGCGCCCGTGAAAAGCAGCTGGCGACGGTGTATGTGCCCACAGAGAAGGTTTTGCATGCCATACGTTCGCCATCACGGCTCTAGGGGAATGGTGATCATCTCCATTTCTTTGCCGAGGGAGCCAGCTTGTTTGAGGCCAATCAATCTGAAGTTTTTATAAGCAATAATTTCCAGTCCGAAAGATGCCCCTCCCTTACCTCCTCTTTTAACTTCACTCCATCTGAACTGGTGCCGCCGCACGACTGAAAAGACTGAGTCAAAGCCATCCTCACGGATCATTTTGACCACTTTGATGAGGTCGGTGGGATGCAGGCAAGGGGAAGTTGCTTGAATGTTTCCTACGACGTCAACCTCTGGAGTCATGAGAGAAAAACATGGAGGAGATAAGGAGCGATCTCTCTCTATCTCTCTGTCAATTGTCAACCACTGTCAATTGTCTAAAGGCTTTGTGTGCTGTGCTGTGCTCCTGGGTTTATCTCATAACAATAGTCACACTGCAAAACTCTGACACCCTCAGATATTCAAATCCGGCTATCATATCATCCCTAGTCCTTTTTTAAATTAAACTAGACATACTGTTCACTTGTAAAGCGTTACCATGACTATTATCAAATTTGACATTGGCGGGAGGATTCCATGCATACCTTCGGCCAGAGTCGGATCTCATATTTCTACAACTTCATTGGTGGATATGATTTATGACACAGACTGAGAGTTAGGGGTAAAGTGCAAAGGCCATTAACCGGCAATCAGTTTCGGCTCCACAGAAGAACATGCCAAAATGTTGATCCTAATAAATGAATGGATTTCTTTTGAACTTTGTCTCGAGGCTCGTAAATTCATTAGGTCATCTTCTGGAAACTTCACACATACCTGCATTCAAATCCAGAGCGTGAAAGCTGAAAGATCTGCCAAAGCAATACTTTAAAAAAAAAGCACCAACATACCCTCGTGATATTGGAGAAACTCCACAATGGTATCCAAAGAGGTAGAAGAATCTTTAGACACTTCCGAGGTCCTCCGGTGAACCTGAGCTCCAAACTGCTTGGCAATTTTCTCAATTTCATCGTGATCTGTGGAAATCCATACACTGTGGGTAGACAAAGGGAGCAGCAATATTGTTGGCCCGTTAGGGAAGCTGTGACACAACACGACAAGCCTTGAGATATGAGTCAATTCTTTATCTCGTATCCCACCCACCCCACTGAATCCCTTTTGGAAAAGCAAATAGTTAAAAGCATTCTCTTCAACCAAAGACCTCTAGGAAAATCACGAAGGGTTTGTGGCCTCAATTTTCCAATCTGTAAAATGGGCAGATCA